TAAAATTTTTGAACCCTCTTTTTTTTTTTTTTTTTTTTTTTTTTTTTTTGTCTTAAATCATTGTTTAAATGTTGGGTATTCATACTTAAGTGTTTTATTTGAAAAACCATCAAGATTCACGTTATTTGGTTGCCTCTTTAGTGTTGTGAAATCTGAAAAATCGAAGAAACTCATGACAAGTTGAGCTGAAATTTTCTTACCGGTGTGATCGGTAAGAAAATTTCAAACCGGTCAGAACAATCGTTCCAGTAAGAACCAGCTGATCAGTCAGCCAGTTACCGGGAAAATTTGAAACCGGTCGGAACAATCTTTCTAGTAGGAACGAGTATGATACTCACTATAATGTTTTGGATTTTGTAGCTTTATTCCATTCTTAAAAGAGTCCACATTCTTAAAAGCGAAAGAACTAAACACGACCACGCTTGAGTACCATGTGACGGGGAATGATGGAAGTTTCCTAGTTGATTTGTGGAGAACTTGCACCTGCAAAATGTATGATATAAACAACTTCCCATGTGCACATGTCCTTGCAGCATATGATGATGGCCCAAACAATCTGCATAACCTTTGCTCAAGATATTATCTGAAGGAGTTATAGGTGTTGGCCTATGTTGAAACCATATATCCTGTACCAAGCTCGTCAGAATGGGACATTCCTAACGATATACAAGCTGAAAAAGTGTTACCTCCTGATTTCACTAAAAAGCGTGGACCAGTTCAAAAAGCCAGGTTTCCTTCAGTTGGAGAGCATGGGAGAGCTAAAAGGAAGCGACTATGCCAGGAAAGCTCTAAAATGATGTCTCCATTAGAATAAGTGTGGATGTATCCATGTTTTTTTTCAATATGTTGGAGCTTGTGGCTTTTTTTAGTATCTGAGTTGTTTGAATATAAGTATCAATATGATTATGATTTCGTTTATGTAGCAATATGTCGGGACTTGTGAATTTTGTCTTGGAATTTTGCATTTAACTGTAATATCTAACCGTTCTTACCGGTACCAATCTGAACGCTAAGAAAAAATCTAAAATCATACTGTAATATTTAACTGTTCTTATTGGTACCAATCTGAAAGGTAAGAAGAGAACATAATTTTGACACGTGTCACGACCATTTCTAACAGATCTTACCGCTCCCGGTCTGAAGTGTAAGAAAAGTTCTAAATTCATACTATGACTTCTAACTGTTCTTACCGCTACCAATCAAAGGGTAAGAAAACAACACAATTTTGACACGTGTCACGAGCATTTTTAACCGTTCTTACCAGTCCCAATCTGAAGGGTAAGAAAGAAACACAATTTTGACACATGTCACGGCCATTTCTAACCGTTCTTACCGGGCCAATCAGAACGGTAAGAATGAAACACAATCAATATATGTCCTCGGTCATTTTTAATCACTCTTACTAGTACCAATGTATAATAATTTGAAACTTAGTTCAATATCACTACTAAGTTATAAAAGTCATCCTTGAGGAAAAAAACCATGTTTAGTGTAATCATGGGAGCCTTGCATTATGGTAAATCTCGACCGCTATCTTCTAAACAATACAAATTAGATTTAGTGTGATCATGGGAGCCAATCGTTATATTTACCAATCATAATTTCACAAGTTTACATGATGGATGCATTATTGTCAAATGTAGCACCATAAGAACAACATAAATGTAAGATCTTAATCTTGCTCAAGATCTCCATGTAATGATCTCACGTTCTCAAATGTATGATCTAAATTTCAACTTTCGTAATTTTGTCTCACTAATTCTTTTCTTAACTTAATTACTTCTCTATACAATATGTTAAACTTCAAGGCTCGGCTCCTTTCTAACCGGTAAGAATGCTACACAAAATGCATAGAGCCTTCGGCTCATTTCTGACAGTTTTGACCGGTACCAATCGAAACGGTAAGAAAAGTTCTAAAGTCATACTGTAACTTCTAACTGTTCTTACTGCTACCAATCTAAATGGTTAGAAATTGCACAATCCACATAGACCTCTAGGCTAATTTCTGATCGTTCTGACAGGTACCAATCTGAACGGTAAGAACGTTACACAAAATGCACGGACCCCATGGCTAATTTCTAACTGCTCTGACCAGGACCAATCAGAACGGTAAGAAAAATGCGAAATCGACAGATCTCTCGGCTCATTTCTAGCCTTTTTGACCAGTACCAATATGAACAGTAAGAAAAGATCACAAACCGCTACCAATCGAAATGGTAAGAAAATTGCACAACACAAATATATCTCTTGGCTTAATTCTGACAATTCTGACCGGTACCAGTCTGAACGGTAAAAAGAGTTCAAATTTTGCATAAGTGGCCCAGGCAGCCACCTTTGATAACTCGCTTAAAGTGGCCCATGTAGCCGCCTTTGATCACGCGCTAAAAGTGGCCCAGGCAGCCGCCATTGATGACATGCTAAAAGTGGCCCAAGCAACCGCCTTTGATGATGCGCCAAAAGTGGCCCAGGCAGCCGCCTTTGATGAAGCGCCAAAAGTTGCCCAGGCAGCCGCCTTTGATAACATGCTAAAAGTGGCCCAGGCAGCCTCCTTTGATAAGACACGCTAAAAGTGGCCCAGGCAGCTTCCTTTGATGACATGCTAAAAGTGGCCTAGGTAGTCGCCTTTGACAATGCGCTAAAAGTGGCCCAGGCAGCCGCCTTTGATAACGCGCTAAAAGTAGCCCAAGCAGCCGCCTTTGATAACGCGCTAAAAGTGGCACAGGCAGCCACCTTTCATAACCCGCTAAAAGTGGCCCAGGAAGCCGCCTTTCATGACGCGCTAAAAGTGACCCAATAGCCACCTTTGAAAACACGCAAAAAGTGTCTCAGGCAGTCACCTTTGATAACGCGCTAAAAGTGGCCTAGGCAGCCTCCTTTGATAACACGCTAAAACTGGCCCAGGCAGCCGCCTTTGATAATGCGCTAAAAGGGGCCCAGACAGCCGCCTTCGATAACGCGCTAAAAGTGGCCCAGGCAACCGCCTTTGATAACGCGCTAAAAGTGGCCCAGTCAGCCGCCTTTGATAACACGCTAAAAGTGTCCCAGGTAGCCGCCTTTGGTAACGTGCTAAAAGTGCCCCAGACATCCGCCTTTGGTAACGCGCTAAAAGTGGCCCAGACATCCGCCTTTGATAACGCACTAAAAGTGGCCCAGGCACCAGCCTTTGATAATGCGCTAAAAGTGGCCCAGGCAGCCGCCTTCGATAACACAGGTAGCCGCCTTTGATCACAGGCTAAAAGAGGTCCAAGCAGTCGCCTTTGATAACACACAAAAAGTGGCCAAGGCAGGCGCCATTGATAACACGCTAAAAGTGGCCCAAGTAGTCGCATTTGATAACATGCTAAAAGTGGCCCAGCAACCGCCTTTGATAACACGCTAAAGGTGGCCCAGGCAGCTGCCTTTCATGACACAGGCAGCCGCCTTTGATCACACGCTAAAAGTGGTCCAGATAGCCGCCTTTCATAACACGCTAAAAGTGGCCCAGGTAGCCGCGTGTGATAACACGCTAAAAGTGGCCGAGGCAGCCGCCTTTGATGACACGCTAAAAGTGGCCCAAGTAGCTGCCTTGGCTAACACTCTAAGAGTGGCCCAGTAACTGCCTTTGATAACACGCTAAGAGTGGCCCGGCAACCGCCTTTGATAACAGGCTAAAAGAGGCCCAGGCAGTCGCCATTCATAATACGCTAAAAGTGACCCCGGCAGCCGCCTTTGAGAACATGCTAAAAGTGGCCCAGACAACCGCCTTTGATAACACACTAAGTGGGGTCTAGGCAGCCACCTTTGATAACATGCAAAAAGTGGACAAGGCAGCCGCCTCTCATAACGAGCTAAATGTGGGCCAGGCAGCCGCCTTTGATAACGCGAAAGGTGACCCAGGCATCCACCTTTGATAC